CCTTCAGAGACTGCAGATTGGAGGTCTGTTTTTCCACAAAACCTAGTTCTAAGCCATTTCTAGCAAGTGAGAGTGACTGGAAGCCTAGTGGTGACAGCTGCCCAGGGGGCAGGCTTAAATAGCAACCCCTCCTAGTAGTGAACGAATTTCAAATTTCACACAAGAAGGGCAAAACCATGGGCTATGTTCTCGCATGAATGTTTGCCTATTTTGGGGCCCTAAATCAAATTGAGAAAAGCGTGACTAAAACACTCAAACTGAAAATATAGTTAGAGATATATACTTTGTGAGACTAACTCGGGAATCTACTGCCCTGCTTCTGCAAGGATAGGGCTCTATAAGGCATGACTTGAAATGAAATCCAAGCACCTTTTATCTATCTGTTTAACTCTGGTGCAGGGGAACAGAGCAACATTTAAGGTATAAACTAAATTAGTCTGTTCCTGAAGAGAACATTTGCTACTCACATTTATGGTGGAAGCAGCAATCTCACAACACAACAAAGCTCTCCTTGTGAGTGGAGCAGGCAAGTCCTGGGTAGGTCTAGACTACAAGGCTCACAGGCTCTATGCCCTAAGCTACTGATGCCCCTTTGTGCCAGAGGCTGGGTTTTGCAGCAAACTCAGTTCAGGCCTGGGAACCCTGAGCCCACCAAGAATCCTAAATAGTCAACTAAAACCCCTGAAATAGCCAGGCCTGTTTCTTTAATCATTAGTATTATTTGTATACCTTTAGGGGGTTCAAGTCCAGTTTCGTTACATGGATATATTACCCAGTGGTGAAGTCTAGACTTCCCAGAGCAACAACAGGGTGGTAAATAATCTCCCTTGTGCAATCAACAACTATAACCCTGGCAGGTAGGGTGCCTACTATTCATACTGACTACAGAGAGCATGGACTCCTCTAACCTGATAAAGTATATGAAGCCAGTTACCAATTTATTACTTCTCAGCTCCAAATTCACCCTTCAATATATATATTCTTTGATAATAGAGGGATTCTTTAAGCATCTCTCCTTTAAAGTAACATCAAAGAGCACGATGTTACACTTACTTAATAGAGGGCTCTGGATGGACAGACATTGAAAAAGGAAGCAGTATTTCTATGAATTCTGGTTCTCAGAGTTGTGGAAGTGAGGACATTCAGGATGCTTTGTCCCAGGCCTGGGCTCAAAACAACTGTCCCTCAGCAATCCTGCAGTCCTGGTGTGCCCTGATGATCAGCGTCTTGTGGCCCTCTTGATAGGGACATGCTGTTTTCCAAGTCACCTGCCCATTGCTTCTCTCTGCTCACTTGCTCCACAGCCCCACACACACATACACACACACACTCACACGCACACACATGACCAGGTTCATGTAGTCCTGTCAATACTGCAGCCCTCTCAACACTGAGACCCCACCCGAATCCTGTGCAAGGGGCATTGTTTACCCCATGACTCCAACTGAGCCAGGCCCCCCAACCCCTACTTCACACCCAGTTACTAGCCACCAGCTATTGCTTGTCTACACTGCCATGCTCCAAAGGGTGCCTTCTTGCTTCCTCTGCGACCGTAGACCAGTTCTAGCTCTGCAGACCAGCTCAGTTACTGGCAAACCAGTGGAACTTCTCTGCCATCCAGTGGGTTCTTCTCCAATTAGGTATGAAATCCAGCCTAATTGATGAATCTAATGAAAACTTAGAAGCTTTAATTCTAAGTTTGTCTTTCCTTGGGTACTCTCCCCTAGTCCCAGAAAACCCCATATAGAGTTGTCTTGTAATTATATAAGACATTTTATCATAGTTTAATGATTCTTTATATTAAACGTTCTCCTTCTAGATCACTGTGTGCTTTCTGTCTTCTGATTGAATCCATATTGCTACAGAACACATGTCTACAGCAAGCATCATTCTTAACGGAGAATCACTGAAAGCTTTCTCTTTAACAGCTGCATCAAGTAAGGATGTCCACTATCACCACTTCTATTCAATAGTTTACTGGGGGTGGTGATGGGGTCCCAGACAGAGCAATAGAGCAAGAAAAAGAAGTAACATATTTGGAAAGGAAGAAGAAAGACTGGCACTATTTACAGATGATATGACAGTGTACATAAAATTCTACAATGTATTACAGAAAAATTATTAGAATCGACAGAAGAGTTTATACACTTATAGGATAAAATCTTAATGAACAAAAGCCAATTGTATCCTATTTAACAGCTACAAATTTAGACAGTAAAAATTCCAAACATAGGATTTGCACAATATGAAGTGCCTAAGATAAAAAAGTTGCCTTATCGGAAAAATATAAATTATTACTTGAGCACATTAAAGGAGATCTTATTAAAAGGAGAGACAGACAAAAACCATGAACCAAACATTCGATATTGAGAAGTCAAATCTAAAATATCAGCACAATCTGAATTAGAACCCTAAACTAGCTGTTGGTTGAAGTTTTTATGATGAGTTTGTAATTTAAATGGAATTGAAATGGACCAAAAGTAGCCAAGACACTTTTGAAGAACAAGGTAGAATTTACTGACTTATCCACATATCAGAATTGACTATGGATCTGTAGTAATTGAGACAGTGTGGTATTTCAAACAGACAAATAGGGCCAAGCACTTAATAGCGAGTATAGGAACTAGCCCACGTATGGGTAGATACTTGATTTATGGCACTGTAAACCAGTTGGCAAAAGGCAGACTTTTCAATAAGTGGTTCACTGAGAAAACTGGATATTCAAATGAATGAATAAATAAATAAATGCAACCCCACTCAACACAATACAAAAACATCAATTGCAGGTAGATTAAGACCTCACTCTGAAGGGCAATAGCATACACATTTTAGAAGAAAATATAGAGAATGCTTTCCTGGCCCAGGGTTTCTTAAAACAGAAAAGATTTCTTAAAACAGATTTCTTAAAACAAAAACGCACTAACCATCAGGAAAAGAATGATGAATTTGACTATATTATAATTAAGATCGTCTGTTCACAAAACATAGCACAAAGCAATGGGAAATACAAACAGAACAAGGGAATATTTTGGGCACAGGAATGGACTAATATTTAAAATATTTAACAGGCTTATTAAGTCAGTAAGTACTAGATGAACAATAGAATAGAAACATGGGTTAAAAGAGGTAAATTTGAACAGGCCTTCTTCGGAGTAGAAACTCCAAAAGGCGTTTTGTGCTAAAGCTTTTCGTTTTGTGCTAAACACGAAAATGTGCTAAAACTTAATAGTAATTTGGATATTGCCCACCAGTAGATTGGCAAAATTTAAATTCTGGCAATACTTGGTGTAGGTGAAGATGTGGAGCAGTAGGGACTCTCCGTGCTGCTGGTGGGATTGACAGCTGGCCCATTCACTACAGAGAACAATTTGGCATCATCTAGTAAAGCTCAGGATATCCATACCCTACGGCCCTGTGATTCTATTCTTGGCTATATACCCTAGAGAGATTTTTACACATGTGTCCCATGAGAAATGTGCAAGAATGTTCATAATAATCACTGAAAAGTAGAAGCAATCCTAATGTCCATCTGCTGTAGAATGGAGTGGTATAATCATACCATAATCACTTTGCTATAAGCATATGCTGGAACAACAGTCAACGATGGAGACAAAGGATCTACTTACTTATAGCTATTATGAACAACATGGAAGAGTCTCTTAAGTATAATATAGAGTGAAAGAAACAAGTTATAAAAGGAAACATGCCATATGATTCCATTTATACAACTTCGTATCAACTCTATTGTTTAGGGATGCATACAAAAGTGATAAAGCTATAAAGGAAAGCAGTGAAATGATTATTACAAAGTCAGAGCAATGACTATATCCATATAGGAGAGTGTGGGTTGTGATTGGGAGGAGTACAGCAGCTGTATTCTGGAAGGCTGGCAGTGGTCTATTGCTTGACCTTGGTCCTGGTTACATAGGTGTCTGCTTTTGTAAAATCTAAACCATATAGATATATTTTATGCACTCTTCTATACCTCAGATTTGAAAAATGCTTCCTCCAGAAAAAGTAATAGAAAGAAAAGTATGTGGAGTAGAAATGTTGATGAGGTTCAAATACTTATGGATGAAAAACTTGATTTTCAAGAGACCAAGTGTTCACTGTCATTAAAAGAGGGCGAGAGAGCTGGGAGTATTTAAACAACAGGTTACACCCATCCCCCTGCCACCACCACCAATCTAGTCATTACTCTAAGCTTTCTCATCTCAGATATTTCACCCTATATTTGTGTCAATTCCCAACTCAGTCGTGACAGACACATTGGAGGATTGTCATCATCATTAATAAGATCATTAGGCACCACAGGCCCAGCAAGACTGGGCCACCACACTTAAATGCAAGTAGGTACACCAGGTTGATTGGACAAGATTGTCTGTGCCTTTTACTTGACAGAATCCATTGCAGTGACTGAGGGTTTAACCTAAACACATTTAACTCAGACTCCTGCCCAGAGACCTCCATGTGCTGGAGAAGGCAGAGCAAATTGAGGAATGAATGCCCTCATTGTACTGTGAGAGTGGACAGGAAATTTATCATGGTACAACCGATGGTGGAAGGGCAAAGAGTTGGTTTAGGTTGTACACTGTATAGGGAGAAGCCAGGAGAAGGTTGGGTTTTTTTCCAAATTTCAATATAAATTGTTTCATCCTCCAGACTTTGCATTTCTAAGCTGAACACTGCTAATCTGTTTTGGCCGCATCTCTCACTCATTCTAATCTCTGTATCAGCAAGACAAAAATTGAACTATGCGGTAAATTGTACCGAAGACTTTGCTCAAGACAATTGTGAGTATGGAAGTTGTCCCGCGGGGAGGTGGGAGGGGGAAGGACACTTTCAGAAGAAATGCCAGCACTATGGTGGTTTACTGCTGACACAGAGACAGTTTATTCTCTCAGGAATTGTCTTTCATCCATCAGTCCAGCCAGTCAGCCAGCCAGCAAACAAATTTTAACACACAAAAACTACGAAGCAACATGTCTAACACTGGGAGGGGCTGGGGGTGTTTATTTGGGTATATACAATGAGTCACGGATTAAAATTGCTTATAGCGGATAGACGCCTAGGTGTTCCACAGCATTACTTAACAAGCTGTCGTCATTTCCCCATCACCTCAGAAGACCTCCTTAATTACTTACGTATATTAACCGTAGAACGTATTTATGCATACCAGGCTCTACCTCTGGGCTTTCTATTCTGTTCCAGAGACCCAGTACCAGAATATTTAAATCACTGTGGCGTTAAATACGTTTTAATATCTGATAGGGCCAGTTTCTGCGCATTGCACATTTTTTTTTCCCCTTTCAGGAACGTGTTCAGGCCCGCGGCAGGGGGCGGGGTCGCGCCTCCTCCTGGGCTCTGGTTCCAGCCCAGCCTCTGGGACACAGAGATGGAAATCCCGAAGCTGCTCCCGGCTCGCGGGACACTACAGGGCGGCCACGGCGGTATCCCCGCGGGTGGCGGCCGGGTCCACCGAGGCCCTGACCCGCCGGCTGGTCAGGTCCCCACGCGCCGCCTCCTGCTGCTCCGGGGCCCCCAAGATGGCGGGCCCGGGCGGCGGTGCGAGGAGGCCCGCACGGCATCACGGGGCCCTGGCCCAAGCCTGTTGGCGCCGAGGCCCGATCAACCTAGCGGCGGCGGCGACGACTTCTTCCTGGTGCTGCTTGACCCGGTGGGTGGCGACGTGGAGACAGTGGGCTCGGGTCAGGCCACAGGGCCTATGTTGAGGGAGGAGGCCGAGGAGGGCCCGGGGTTCCAGGGGGGCGAGAGCGGCGCGAACTCCGCCGGGCGAACTGCGCTAGGCCCCCGCTGCCTGTCAGCGGTTCCCACTCAGGCCCCGATCTCCGCCCCCGGCCCCGCCGCGGCCTTCACCGGCACAGTCACTATCCACAACCAGGACCTGCTGTTGCGCTTTGAGAACGGCGTCCTCACCCTGGCCACGCCCCCATCACACTCCTGGGAGCCAGGGTCCGCTCCTGCTCAGCAGCCCGGGTGTCTGATCGCCCCGCAAGCCGGGTTCCCGCATGCCGCGCAGCCGGGTGATTGCCCAGAACTGCCGCCAGACCTCCTGCTAGCCCAGCCGGCCGAACCCGCGCCAGCTCCTGCGCCCCAGGAGGAGGCGGAGGGCCCGGCCGCCGCCCTGGGCCCCCGCGGACCGCTGGGCTCGGGCCCAGGCATGGTGCTGTACCTGTGCCCCGAGGCGCAGTGCGGGCAATCCTTCGCCAAGAAGCACCAGCTGAAGGTGCACCTGCTGACTCACAGCAGCAGCCAGGGCCAGAGGCCCTTCAAATGCCCTCTGGGTGGCTGCGGCTGGACCTTCACCACCTCTTACAAGCTCAAGAGGCACCTGCAGTCTCACGACAAACTGCGGCCTTTTGGCTGCCCAGCGGAGGGCTGTGGCAAGAGCTTCACCACCGTGTACAACCTCAAGGCGCACATGAAGGGCCATGAGCAGGAGAACTCATTCAAATGCGAGGTGTGCGGGGAGAGCTTCCCCACGCAGGCCAAACTCAGCGCCCACCAGCGCAGCCACTTCGAACCTGAGAGGCCTTACCAGTGCGCGTTTTCTGGCTGCAAGAAGACATTTATCACAGTGAGTGCTCTCTTTTCCCATAACCGCGCCCATTTCAGGGAACAGGAACTGTTTTCCTGCTCTTTTCCTGGCTGCAGCAAGCAATATGACAAGGCTTGTAGGTTGAAAATTCACCTGCGGAGTCACACCGGGGAGAGACCTTTCCTTTGTGACTTTGATGGCTGTGGCTGGAACTTCACCAGCATGTCCAAACTCTTAAGGCACAAAAGGAAGCACGACGATGACCGGAGGTTCATGTGCCCTGTGGAAGGCTGTGGGAAATCTTTCACGAGGGCTGAACATTTGAAAGGCCACAGCATAACCCACCTGGGTACAAAGCCTTTCGTGTGTCCTGTGGAAGGCTGCTGTGCCAGGTTCTCTGCTCGCAGTAGCCTCTACATTCACTCCAAGAAACACCTGCAGGATGTGGACACTTGGAAAAGCCGTTGCCCGATCTCCACTTGTAATAAACTCTTCACATCCAAGCACAGCATGAAGACGCACATGACCAAAAGGCACAAGGTGGGCCAGGATCTCTTAGCTCAGCTAGAAGCAGCAAATTCTCTTACACCCAGCAGTGAACTTACCAGCCAGAGACAGAATGATCTCAGTGATGCAGAGATTGTGTCTCTCTTCTCTGATATTCCTGACAGTACTTCTGCTGCAGTGCTGGACACAGCATTGGTGAACTCTGGAATCTTGACTATTGATGTGGCTTCTGTGAGCTCGACTCTGGCAGGGCACCTCCCTGCTAATAGTAATTCCGTAGGGCAGGCTGTGGACCCTCCGGCCTTGATGGCCACCAGCGACCCTCCTCAAAGTCTGGATACCTCTCTCTTTTTCGGAATGGCGGCCACTGGTTTTCAGCAGAGCCCCTTAGATATGGATGAGGTCTCAAGTGTAAGTGTGGGGCCATTGGGATCTCTGGGCTCTTTGGCCATGAAAAACTCCAGTCCAGAGCCCCAGGCTTTGACACCCAGCAGTAAGCTAACAGTGGAGACAGATGCTCTGACTCCTTCAAGCACCCTTTGTGAAAACAGTGTCTCAGAACTACTGACACCAACCAAAGCAGAGTGGAACGTACATCCTGACTCTGACTTCTTTGGACAGGAGGGAGAAACCCAGTTTGGATTCCCCAATGTAGCAGGAAACCACGGTTCTCAGAAAGAAACAGATCTTATCACTGTGACTGGCAGCTCATTTTTGGTATGAACCAACTCTATTCATTCCTTGCCATGTGGCTTACTTTTATTACAGTCAATTTTGAGGATGTTCTGGACTAAATGTCTAAGTGCAGTCATTTCTTTTTGGTTTGCAAAAAGAGCACAGCCCTGGACTACAAGTTTGGAGATCTAAATTCTGATCTCGAGTCTGGAACTGATAAGTTGTGTGACCCTGAGCAAGTCACTTAACCTATCTGAGCCTTAATTTCCTTATTTATAAATTGAGGTGGTTTGAATAGATTGCTTTTAAGGTCTTTCTGCTCTGTGATTCCTTGATAATAGATTTATTTCCTTGAAAAATATGAGAACTTTTTCAGTGATGTGGTATGTCTTTTTGTTTTTTTTGTTTTTTTTTTAACTGCCCTCCCACCCCTCACATGGTCTTTTTTTGGCAAACGTACATAATGTTACATCATATTATGATGAACATCCATGTACTTTTCACTCCACTTCAGCAATTATGAATCCATGAACAGTCTTTTTTAACTTAGCCTCACTCACTCCCCATGTTCTAGTATTATTTTGTAACAAATAGCAGACATCTGATCATTTTATCCATAAATATTATTTATATATCTCTGAAAGCTGTGGGCTGATATGGAAAAAAAATGATAATTCCATTATCACAAGTGGTATTTACAGTAATTCTTTAATATCAGTAAATATCCAGTGAGAGTTCAAACTTTCAATTGCCTCATAAATGCTACTTGTTTTATTATTTTTAATTAGTAGAATCCCGTAAATCTCCTAAGTGTCTTCTTAATCCGTATGTTTCCCCTTCATCTTTGTTTTTTTCCTTGCAATTTTGTTTATGAAATGAGGTTGTTTCACATGTAGCATTTGCTACGATTTAAGTTTTGCTAATTACATCCCTATGGTAATGTTTGCTTTCCTCTATCCTCTGTTTCTTTAACTTGCTAGTTATGTCTAGAGACTTGATGAGATTGAAACATGGCTTTTGGCATGAATGTTTCATAGGTTATGTTGTGTTCATTTAGTAGGTGGTGCATAATCTGTGGTTTTCTCTCTTTTGTGGTATTAGCAGCTGCTGCAGATAAATGCATTAATTCATGATGCTTCTGATATAATGAATCATCTTTGTAGAGTTACTAATCATTAGCAAAGGAGGAAATGCTATGTAATAGAAATATTATTCAATACCAAAATATTTTCTTAAATAGTCATAGAACTAACAGGAAAAAATAGATAGCAAAAAAATGTGTTGGCTGTTCTCACTGTTTATCTTCCTGACTTCTTTTGATGATGGAAGGCAGTTTTGTGGAAATTGCCAGCCAGGACTTTGACATGAAACAGACCCAGGGCTAAATTTTGGCTCTGTGGTGTTGGTTAAGTGGCCTTGAATAAATTAGTTATTAAGCCTCAGTTTTCTAGCTTTTAACTGATTATAGCAATGCACACACATACCTGACACACTGTTAAATTTTCTTCTCTTCCTGTTTCTTGCGTTAAGAAAAAATACTCTGTGTTTTGGCATATTTTAGTGAATTTGTACCATTTTTATTCTCAGTCCTTTTATAATAATTGGAGTATTTTAATCTTATTCATGTGCAGACAAAAGAGCTTTATGAAGTTCAGGGTGAAGTAGTCAAGGGAATCTGTTTATTCCCTCTTCCCTCTACTGAATAATTTTCCCTCTAAGAATTGCTGTGGGTAATACCATGAGTGGAGACATTGCCCACATGCAGAACAGCATATCTCTCCATTTGATCAATTCCCACATGCATAACAGCATATCTCTCCATTTGATCAATTTGTCACCATCTTTGCTCTGCTTTGAAAGTCAGGCTTCTCTGTGACTGTGAAGCCTGCTGTTCCCTGAAAATCTGATAATGGAGCAGTGGAGGTTTCTTTCTTTCTGTGCTCTGTAGATCAAATTGTTTGCACTTGGAATTTCCCAGAGTTGAAAGGAAAGATTGAACTGGAATATTGTGTAAACTGTCTGTCTTACATTAGTGTAGCATTTTGCAATTTGGGGAACATCTTCACAACTTGTGTCTCGTTGTTCAGAACAACGTTGTGAAGTAGTTTTGGCAATGTCTGTGTTTCATGTAATTTAGCCAACTCCCATTCCAACTAGGCTTTGGCTAAATCTGACAATTCTATATATAGCTTAAAACAAAGAAGACACATTCTCTTTACCCCTCCCAGTCTACCCGTCCAGCCTTCATGATTCATTCCTGTGTCAAGGTTAGTCGCTGTTTTCCATTTGAATTGGTTTCTTTTATGGTCAGTTTACTTTCTTCCCTCTCCCTTCCCTTTCCTGCACATTCCCATCCTTGCCACGCCTTTCTGTCCTCTTTTTTAATGGATATATCTTTTTCCTGCCATTATCCCTCAGACATTCTCCTCATGGCACATTTTCTTCGAATGCTAACATTTACTGAGTGTACATTGGAGTTCTGTGCATACAGGAAGAAGTTATTTTCTGAGCTTAGATAATACTATGTGTATATGTGATTAAAATGATGAAGATTATTTTCTATACCCTTCAAATTAGAAGTGGATTTCTGTTTCATTACTTCCAATTTAAAAAGTTTTTGCCAGAGAGTTTTGCCAATACTCTCTTATTTGCTCTAGTGTACTAGTCCAGTAGTGTTTGCATGTGGATGTCTGTGGATGACAGTTATTGTAGCACTTTGGCAGTGCACTAAAAATTTGCCACTATGAAATATTTCTGTATTGCGTGTGTGTGTGTTGAAATACGCACACAGCTCCCCCCACCCCATATATATTAAAAGTGGTTGTATTCATTTAGTGAAAAACAAAAAGTAGATGTACTTTTGTAAATCAGATAAATGCTTGGAATTTGATTGTGTCTACCCATTCAACAGTTTTCCCTCTTTGCTCTGGAAATATTTGTACTCATATAGCATATTTCAAAAATGTCGTTGTTCATTAAGGCCTCTTAAATAGACCACTATTTTTTGTGTCTGGCAGATGAGTATGTCAAGGATTGAGATAAACACATAAGTCTTGGAAATTAAATAAATTTATAAACATAAAGATAATTTAATGCTGTGACTTCGTTTTTTTAAATTATTTAAACCAACTTTCTCCCAATAAAAAATTATAAACTATGTCTTGTCCTGCTTATTCCTGGACAAATTTTCAAAGGACAGATGTTACGTTCTCAGAGGGAACAGCTTTTATTTGTCCATGGGCTCACAAAGTTTCACTAAACAAATTTGTTCAAATGATTTCTCTTTCAACATCATTTTCTAGCAAAATCATGGAAAACAGCTTTACACTTTCAAGGTAATAGATATAATTCTGTTGGTGGTGATAAGCTGCACTTGACTCATCTGAAAAAAGTTGCCATCACTCCTTTTAAATAATGGTACTTGTTTTAATTTCTGCTTCTCTTCAGGCATTGACTTATTAAAACTTCTCATCAACTGAAAACACAGTAACATAATGGCTTAAAAAGAATTGTGTTTCTAGGGCTCCATTGATCTTGTTGGTCATAAGCTAAAAATACACTGACATTGGTATTTTTTTTTTACCAATTACTATAATTAATACAACAAAATGCTTTAGTAGTAGTCGAGAAACATGGATAGACTATGAAGTTTGTCTCTGTGACCTACATTTTTCATGTTCATATCTGGGAAACATATGAGAAAGCAATTTGTAAGCTGGAGATTATACTATATATATTCAAAATTAACAAATATTTACTGAGCATCATTGTGAAGATTACCCCATAACATATTGAGGGGTCTGTGAGAGGAGTACTGTATGACCCTGACCTTTAAACAGATCGCTGTTGATGGGAGGAGATAGAAAAATAATATATTAAATTATTGAAGAACAAAAACAGAAAAATGTTTACTTTGGCACCAAAATGAAAATGATTAAGAGGTAAAAACAAAACAAAAAAAACAGTAAGAATAATGAGACATTTATTCTGGACACAGAGAAGCCAGCAAATATGTTTTAATAGAGGAGTCAGATCATGAAAATTATGTTTTAGAAAAGTTAATGTCATGCTAGTGTACAATGTGGATTAGATGGGAAAGACCGGAATAGGAAAATCAGTGAGAAAGCTTTTGCAGCAATCAAGGTGTGATATGAAGGATGAAGCCAGAACTAGGATAGTGCCAGTGGAAATCAAAAGGAAGAAAGAGGTATTGGAAATATTTTCAGATATTTCCAGTATTTGAAGACAGATTTCAAATATCAGATAATTTCAAATCTCTCTTCAAATACTGAAGAGACGACTTAGTACCTCATTGTGGGGGAAGAAACGAGGGAGGGAGGGAGAGAGAGAATGAGAGAGAGAGAGATCATCATAGAAACCAAGAATGGTAACTCAGGTTTCCTTGGGGACTATAATATATTTTTACTAGCAGAATGAGGGAAGTAAGGAAGAGTTCATTTTGAGAATCAGTGTATAAAGATGGTGTATTTAGTTAAATAATAGTTGTTAAAGCATTGTTATCCTACATGAGGATACATTATAATGTGGATACAATTGTGGTTTATCCACTTTCTAGAAGACACCAAAAGGCTACTCTTTTTTTTTTTTTTGGCAGGGGGTTCCTTTAGGCATTCTCAGAGCTACCTACACATTTATGATCCTCTTACCTCCTTTCGAAATACCAGAGACCTCCCCAGCTTGTCCTGAATGATCCAGATCTGCATTGGCCAATATGGTAGCTACTAGTCATATGTGCCTATTCAGCATTTGAAATGTGTCTAGTGCAACCAAGGAACTGAATTCTTAATTTAATTTAAATTTAAGTTTTAAAACTGAAGCAGCTATAAAACATTTTTCTGTTAGACACAACTCTATTGTTTTGGCAGGACTAAATTTCACTTTAGCCATTGAAAATTTAGTATCCAAATTGAGTTGTGCTATGAATGTAAAATATAAACCTTAATACCAAAAGTTTTCAGAGGCTTAATACAAAAAATTAAATATCTGATTAGTATTTTAATATTGATTACATGTTGAATAATGTTTTGAATAGATTTGGTCAAAAATTCAAATTAATTTTATCAGTTTCTTCTTACTTTTTTAATGTGGCTACTAAAAAAATCTGAAATAAAGGCAGGACACAGTGACTCATGCCTGTAATCCCAACACATTAGGAGGCCAAGGCGGAAGGATCACTGTGACCAGGAATTCGAGGCTTCAGTGAGCTATGATCCCACCACTGCACTCCAGCCCGGGTGACAGAGTGAGACCCTATCTCTTTAGAAAAGAAGAAAATTAAAGAAAATTTAAAATTAAACATATGGCTCTTTAAAAAAAATAAAATTACAGATAAGCTCATTATATTTCTATTGGACAATGCAAATCTGGACATTACATCACTTCCTAAGACTACTCTGTATGAAAATGAGCTATGCCTTCTGTGCTGTATACTAACTTTTAAGATTCACTGGGTATTCTATTTTATGTTTAGGGTATAATAGTCTATGTATTATATTAGGAATTCAGTATTTTGTCATGAATTTCAGCAGTTCACTATGAAAGTAGAAGTAAGTTTCACCTCCATCTGTCTCAGTTGGAGCTGGGAAGGGTAAGATGGTGAAAAGTTCAATATTCCTGGATCTGTGTGAGATTGCCTCATTGAGGCATCTTATTTATCATCTCTTCTGTCACTAAAGAGAGTCGTGAGGCAAGGGATAGTGTGAGAACCCCTACAAGAGTCTTTCCATTTTGTAGTTTCCCTGTCCACTAAAATAGAGAACTCTAGAAGGAATGGAACAAAAATAAAGGGTAAAACATTAAAGGAGTGTAAATAACTCTCCAGGAATTACATTGTATTTGATGGTGAATTTGATAGGAGTCCCACATTGTCACCTAGGATAATTTCTCACTCTTGTTAATTTAAAGACAGACAACACTCTTTTAACTTTTCATTTTTCTAAAGACAATATCCGAATGTGGTATTTTAAAACAAAGCACACAAAGATACCTAACAGCACCAACAATTTCTGAATCCCTTAAGACCATCGATTCTATTTGTTTACTAAGCTATCATTTAGCACTTATGTATTGAGTACCTAATATATGAGGTATTGTGAATTATTACACCTAAAGTATAACTCAATCCATTCCAAATTTTTTTGAGTATCAATTATGTAACAGGTATTGTCCTTATGTTTAAAGATATGATCTATATGGGAAACTATTAAAACCAGTGTATAACAGAGCTTTAAGAGGTACATTATAGATTTACTAGAATAAGAAGTACCATTTTCTGTAAGTGAGCATAAATTTTGATGATGGGAAACCAATATACACAATATCAGCAAATATAGTATTTCATCAGAAACTGAAATTTTGTTTAAAGTATAAATATCACAACAAAAGTATTCTAAACTAAAACTTTGACAGGTTTCTGAGAAGTAGATTTGATAAACTGTAGCAAAATATGAAAATTAATTATGAAATAGACTTTATTTTTTATTTATTTTTAGATTGCAACTTTTGGCTTGATGAATCTTATACCTATAAGTGATCCTGGGGATTGTGTACTTATCTCCCTCATTATATGAATGAGGAAAGGTATTAGGCCTACACTTTGTGTGTAAATTTCTTTTCTTCTTATTATAAGACATTATGGCAAAATTTAATTCTGTGGAAAAATAAGGACATTATTTTGAAGATAAATGTATTATATTGACACACCAGGTGGAAGGAATGAAATAGTAATTAATTTCAGGTAACATTTGGGACTGAAAGTTAGAGTTAAATATGGAGGAACCTAAAAGTTCATCAGTGCTCTGGGGTGGGGGTTCTGTTAAACAAGTAAGTGTTTTGATTTCTGGTAAAAAAAAAAAAAAAAAAAAATAGTAGCTTAACATTTTTGAAAATTAGGGAAAATTTTGTTTCAAAATAGCAAAATAAAACTTTCTTTAATGCTGAGAATTTTTTAATTTTCAAGATGTGAAACACTCACAAAGGGTTAAAAACATTTTCCTTATAGCATAATAGCAAAAGAAAGTGATTTATTTTAAACAAGACTAACCTCTCTCTTCTGTTTACAGTACAGCATAGAAGCTAACTTCAGAATTATCTTGTCTTCAAATGACAGAAGGAAACTGTCCACTTGTCTGCTTAGAAATTTTCCAGAACAGAGAACCCTAGTGGAAATACCATTGAAGGAGCAGCAGCAGTTCATCCCAAGCTAGTTTCAACTTTAGTGCTGCCTTAGTGAGTCCTTTCCTGTCCAAAGTGCCAACATTAGCTAGTTTAACACCAACTACAGTCAACTTTTAGTACTTGCTATGTGTAAGAAAATTTAGCATTTTCTCGTTCAATTCACATATGATTGTGGGTTTCCTGGTGTTAATTATTAATTATCTCATTATAATATTAACAATAATCAGTTGGCATGTCTTATGATAATAATTACACTTCAATATTTTATCTTCATTTAAAAATTGTTTTGACTAAATAAAATTTTGCTTGACATAGGGGTACATTTTTCTACATTATTTGAGTATGTCTCAATCATCTCTGTATTTTGGAAGCAATACAATTTAGAGCTCTGTTAACATTTATTTAGATAAGTGTTTTGAATTATAGCCTTACAATGTTGGCTACTTTGAAAATGGAGAAAGGCAAGCATCCCCCACATTCATAGATCAGTGATAAAGTCCCTGGAAAAAATTTGGGGAGTGAGACATTAAGTAGGTCTTAGAGTTAAGATCAAATTCATAAGAAAAAAGCTATTTGATTCTGTTGTTTAAAATTATTCATTTATATTTATCAAGTTTGCTGCTGAGTATAATCTTATATATCATATAAACTTATAGAAGCCTATTTTTAAAACTCCGTTTAAAGTATTATGTCATTAATTGGTACTTTAAAAAATAGGCTAACTGGTATTATATTTTATTTTTACAAAGGGCATCTGATAGCATTTAGACTTTGAAATTTGAATACAAAATATATACAGCCCTAAATATAACATTTCATAATATTTGTAAGGTAGTTCTGACTATGATTCATAATAGATTATTTTGCAACAACAACAACAAAAAAATATTT